TTCCACTTGGATATTTGGTAATACATTTCTCATTTATGTGATCAATAGGACAACCCCATGAATACATTTCATCTAAAAGTTTTAGATGTAGTTGAATCAACGTTGAACTATTGTTATTATACTAGTTTTATAGATTTCATGACTGAAACTTGGGGTAGCCCATGACACATGGATGTAAGACCATAGGGGTAGCCCATGGCATTTCAGGGTAAGACCATGGGGGTAGCCCATGAAACTTGGATGTAAGACAATGGGGGTAGCCCATGACATTTCAGGGATAGACCATGGGGGTAGCCCATGGCAAATGTATGTATGGTATATGATATTTTGGGGAACTCATTAAGCTTTGTGCTTACGGTTTATGTTTTAAATGTTTTCAGGTACTTCTAGTACCAAAGGGAAGGACATGACTTGATCGCTTCGCATCCCTTGGAGGCTTTTTCCGCATTGATTATTACTATTTTACTCTGATGTTTGAGAGATACATTTTACTATGCTTTCTTTTTGAACAAATAACTATATGGATTTGGTGGTTTGAAATGAAAATTTTTACTAGTATTTTTGGGACGTTACATGACGACTCACAACGATCGTTGGTAGAGAAACGGTGTTTGGAGGTGATTATCTTGGCTACGGTTTGGGTGTTATGGAGACATAGGAATTCAGTTTTGTTCGATAACAAACCAATTCGTAGAGATGTTATTTTTTATTATATGGTTTGAATTCGTTCAATTGGATAAATAATCGAGCTTCCAAAATATATGTTAATTGGTATGCTTGGATGAAGTCTCCTTTGTAATTAATGATTTGTTTTGGTTCTAGTTACTTGCTGGAACCTTTTTGATTATATGACATACTTGTTGTTCAAAAACAAAAAGGTGAGAAAATGAGTTTTTTTTTAAAAAAATGTTTGGATTAGCTTTTATAGTTGCAAAAATCAATAAGTCAATATGTTAAAAAGTTTTTGGCTTAATTTTGTTTTTTATCTACTTTGTAAACCTAATAAGTTATAAGTTGTTTCAAGAAGTTAGAAATTGTGAAGTCTTAAAATCTCATTTTCAAATACTAAACAAAAAAGTTTTTTTAAATGCTTTTTTCTATACGGTAAATATAACAAAAATCATTAAGTTTACACAAAAAAATCACTTTTCACATTGCATTATTTTTTGTCTCAAATTGGATATTCGTTTTCATTTTTTTACAATTCTGACCACTTGACTGGTCAACCCGGTTTTCTGCTGACGTGACATGATGACGTGTTAGTTTTTGATGACGTGGAAAGTTAGCATGGCATGCTGACGTGTCAAAATTAAAAAAATAGTTACACAAAAGACACTAAGTTTTCACTTTTTTCAATTTTGACACTTTATTTTTTTTGTTCCAAATCAAACATCATTTTGTACATTCATATCATAATGTTATGTATAAATATGTATCAGTTATATTATAAAGATATTTTTAAAAAATACACAATTTTAAAATGAGTTATGATGTGTGAAATGCACAGTCAAGCAAGCTAATATGGTCTTGGGAACACAAAGGTTTGGGGGTCGTTTTAACTACCAAGGGACCGTTAACTGTATATATCGATAGTTTTTTGTTCTTGTTGATATACTTCTTGATATGTTGGAAAAAATTATAACATGCTAATAATGAATGAAAAATATAGTTATAATATAACTAATACATATTTATACATAACATTATGGTTTGAATGTAAAAAAACCTTATATTTATACAAAAAATGTCGTTTTGAAGTGAATATATATATATATATATATATATATATATATATATGGAGAATGGTCAATTTTGATTGAAAAAAATGATATTCGATTTGGAAAAAAAACATTGAGTGTCAAAATAAGGCTATCGCGTATACAGACCACGAAGCCCTCCGTGGTTTACGTGGCAACGAAAAAAGTTCGTGAACACCACCCCGACCATTCATGGTCGGGCGTGGTCGTGGTGTTCCGTGTTGCCGACGACGAAGCCAAACGCACAATAGGGCTCTTCCTCTTCTTTGACCATTTCACTAGCCCTTGAACGGCTAAATTTTAAAAAAAAATTGTTTTTTTAAATAAATTTTTTTACATACAATTTTCACCTATAAATACTCCATTCTAAACCTTATTTCTTACACCATTCTTTTCTTACTCTATACACAAAATACCCACAACATTTTCACAACAAAAAAATATGGTTCTCAACCAAAACACCCCTCCAAACTATAGAAATCGCAAACCCGATAACGCTTTTGCGTTAGACACAACCACTCGCCAATTCCCGACCATGGAATCACCTCAAGGTGGTTTTGTATAATACTTCAAACCGGTTCCCCTATCTAACAAACAACACTTTTTCAACAACAATATCAAGCTTTCCCGGCCTTCCAACAACAACAACTTCAACAATATCAAGCTTTCCAACAATTCCAACCACAACAATTCCAACCGCAACCATCACAACCACAACCATCACAACCCCTCATTCGCCGGATTTTGTTTCGGAAACTAAACCTTCACCACCAACTCAACCTAAAAAGAAAAAAGGAAAAAAACGGCACGACCCAACACCACCCAAGAAAGAGTCCCATGGACAATAGAGGAAGAAGAAAAAGTTCGTGTAGTGTTTTACGAGCTAACAGGAAGTGAAAGCCGAAATCCCGATCAAATTAGCTCGAAGTGGCGTGATATTCGACTAAAGTGCACCAAATTTAGAGGAATTTACAACAACGTCCTAAACATACGAAAAAGCGGGGCAAACGATTTTGATGTCTTTAAGGCGGCTTTGGACCAATTTGAAAAAATAACGCCAACACTCAAAGCTTTTCCGTATGTGAAACCTTGGCTAAAGTTGAAAGATGCTCCGAAATGGAAGGAGCAAACGGAATGAGGTTCAAAATCTTCCGGTTCAAAGCGTTCTAGAAACCCCGACGGAACGTCTCAACAATCAGATGAGCGAACACATTTCGACATCAACGATGATCCGCTCGATATTGAAGACGAGCAACCTCTTCGTCGACCCGTTGGAAGAAATAAAGCAAAAAAGCGGCTTCAACGGCTTCGGGATCTACTGTTATAGATCAATTTGGAGAGAAATTTTATCATTATGTCACGTTCAAAAAACGAAGGCGGAGATGTTGAGTGGTGTGTTTAGTGGTAGGTATCCCATGGGTAATGGTAGGGAATGTGGTGATGACGTGACACCCACCACTATAATAATTAGTAGTGGGTAGGGATGAGAGTGAGTCTAAACCCGGACCCGGAAAACCCAGGAACCGGTTAACGAGTTATTTTAGGACCGAGAACCAGACCGGTATATAGGAACCGATTCCGGTTCGGTTCCAGGTAAGGTACCGGGTAAAGTGGGTCTAGAACCGGAAAACCCGGAAATATGAAAGTGGGTCGAATGAAACCGGGTAAAGTGGGTCTAGGACCGAAAAACCCGGGGAACTGGATAAAGTGGGTCGAATGCATGTTTTAAAATTTCACAAAGTCAAAAATAAAGCTGAGAAAAAAAAAGGAAATTCGCAGCTTTAATATCCCAACTTTGGGAGACTATAAATCAATGAATATGAAACCAAAAATGACAAAAGTATAGTCTAAAACCATGTACAAATTCTATACTACACATTGGAAAAAACCTCATGCTATTCTGACTTCAAATAAATTAGATATTCATGTTTTAAAACTACCACAGAATACAAAGAAAGCTGAAAAACATAAATTTTTTAGCTTTGATATCCCGACTTTGAGAGACTATAAGTCAATGAATAAAAACCAAAAAATAACAAAATTATAGTCTAAAATCATGTACAAACTATAAACTACACTCTGGAAAAAACCTCATGTCAATCTGACTTCAAACGAATGAGATATGCATGTTTTAAAACTATCACATAATACAAAGAAAGGTGAAAAACATAACATTTACAGCTTTGATATGCTAACTTTGAGAGACTATAAGTCAATGAATAAAAACACAAAAATAACAAAAATGTAGTCTAAAATTATGTACAAACTATAAACTACACTCTGGAAAAAATCTCATGTCAATCCGACTTCAAACGAATGAGATATGCATGTTTTAAAACTATCACAGAATACAAAAAAAACTGAAAAACATAAAATTTCCAGCTTTGATATCCCGACTTTGAGAGACTGTAAGTCAATGAATATAAACCCCAAAATGACAAAATGATAGTCTAAAATCATGTACAAATTATAAACTACACTATGGAAAAAACCTCATGTCAATCCGACTTCAAACGAATGAGATTTGCATGTTTTAAACTTTTCACAGAAACCGGTTCCGGTTCCTAACACGGTTCCGGTTCTTAAACCCGGTTTACCCGGACCCGAAGGACCCGAAACCCGGATTACGCGGAACCCGAATAGAGCCACTCTTTAAACCCGGGACCCGGACCGGTTTTACATATTCCGGTTCTAACGGTTCCGGTCCGATTCCGGTTTCGGTTCCGATTTTCCGGTTCTAAATCTCATCCCTAGTAGTGGGTATAACGGATGGTCTAATATAAATTTAATGATTTTTATGATATTTAGAGGGTGTTTGGGAATACTTTTTAAATGACTTTCCCAAAAAGTTATAAAGATGTTTGGAAGATGCAAAAGTTTTTTTCAAAATAACTTTTTATAAAGAAGAAAAAAGTGCGTTTTTAAAAGTCAAGAAAGTGTAACTTTTTGTAACTTTTGGACTTTTAAAGTTAAATCACACTCAAAAGTATACTACTCAAACACTTTTTAAAACCCACTTTTGGCTTTTGTTTTCCTCAAAAAAAAACTTTACAAAAAGAAATTTTAAGCTTAAAAATAATTTCAAAACACCCCTTAACTTGTTAACTTTTACAAGTTAGATGATATTGAAAAGTTGCAACGGAGGGTTTAACTTTCAGAGCACCTTCTTCTTTATCCCCCCTTCAAATTCAAGTTTCAACCCAATCAAAACCCTAAAACCACGCCACAACAAACATCATCACCATGTCTTCATCTCCATCCGAGAAATCCCAAAACCCACAATCAGATCACACCGCCGACCACCCTAAAACCCTACACCCTCAAAACCCAGATCAAGAATCTACAGAGCCGTCTCCAACACTCGAAGAAACTGAAAATCAAGAAGCCGAAGAGGAAGGAGAATGCGGATTTTGCTTGTTCATGAAGGGAGGCGCCTGCAAAGAAGTTTTTATCAACTGGGAAAAATGTATTGAAGAAGGCGAGAAAAACAATGAAGATATAGTCGATAAATGTTTCGAAGCTACCTCAGCGTTAAAGAAATGTATGGAAGCGAATCCAGATTACTACGGCCCAATTTTGCAGGCGGAGAAGGCGGCGGAGCAGGAAGCAATCAAGCAGTTGGACAAGGAGAAAGAGGCCGCCGCCGCAGCCACATCAGATTCAGGGGAGGAGCAACAGAAACCGGCGAGTTCTTAATTTTTGGGGAAAATCGATAGCATAAGGAAAATTTTGAGGTAATTACGACGAAAAACTGAGAATCAATGAAATTTTTTGTTAAATTTTACAATTAAGATACTTGAATTTAGCGTAACCACATGACTGGTTGCTTAATTTTCTAGTTAAGTTTTGATTTTCGGTTTACATTGAAGATTGATTGCACAAAATGACTACGCCCGCATTCTTGATTTGCTTCTTGTATCAACTATTGTCTATTAAACAGAATATGCAGAAAGAATCGAACAAGAAACAATCAACAACATACAAACAAATCGAAATTACATTTCCATTCATCTTGATCAAATTAAGTATCACTATTTACTGTTGCATCGCCGAAACATTCTTGAGGGTTTGCATAAAAATAATCTTCTTCCTTGGGTTTGGTAGCAACATTCCAACGATCATCTGGTTGGCCTATTCTTTTCCCGTGTGCCATTTTTACAGCACCCGAGAACTCTATCCATGAGATCGTCCCATTTTGGTGCAAATCTATTAAATTTATAAGTTCTTTTCTATCTAATCTTATAGTTTTCTTGAATCCAAGGTATCTGCATATATAAGTTTTCAAGCTTCTCATTCTTGTCATTTATATTTGTCTATTGCTATTAGAACAAGAGTTTCTACAACTATGTACCTCATACGTTTGAGTTCATCTGCTTCCTCGTCTGTGCAACCATGTGTACAACCCGAGAACGCCAACATGTCCATTTCGTATCTAAAGTGCAACGCGACAAATGGTCCTTTTTCACGAAGAATGTGAACTAATTTGTCACCAAGAGCCTCTATTTTGTTGCAAGGTTCATCATCCTAACTTTCTTATGGCCGAGTTGAATTGTTCGCTGTTATGAACTGGATTCTAAGACCAGATTCAATAACATAAAACAATCAAGGATTCTAATATTGATTGAAAAACAACCTGAGAAATCCCATATTGGGTGTTCGGGAGTTTGGAAAAAAGATATAAATTTTCATGATTTAACATCGCATTGAAGCCGTAAATACGTGAAAATGATCAAATTAACCTAGATTTTCGAAATGAAGAACTTGGTGTTGAGGAATTTTCAAAGAGATTGGAGATTTCGGGATTTAACCATCGAATTGAAGAAACAAAAAGCGATCGAATTAACCTAAATCTTTGAAAAGACAAACTGGGTGTGTGATTTGGCAAAAGATAGATACTTTATGGAAATAGATCAAGTAATGGCGATGGTGGAGACGAGTAATGAGCAGCGGTGGTGGTTATTTGCTGTTAATGTGTGATTGTTCAGTGGAGGTGAGAAAATCACAAGCAAATTACTTTTGATGTTCGTAATAGAATTTCAATTTATTTTTGAATGTTTTTTAGATAATATCCAGCAAAGATTATTATTATTATTATTATTATTATTATTATTTTAAGAAACATAGAGTGAATTACAGTTTTGGTCCGTTTGGTTTGGTTAAATTTGTATTTTTTGTCCAATCTTTGAAATATGGTCAAGACGCATCCTTATGGTTTAAAGATATTACGTTTTTGGTACTACTTTACCCTTTCTGATATGTTTTTTTTCAATGTTCTAAGGGTAATTCCTTAAAAACCATTATTTATACATATCCGTTTTGATTTAACCCCAATATTTTTTTTTTGTTATTTATTTGCCACCGTTAATGAGATGACGTTCCATTTATTAAACCTTACCCGGTTAACAACCGGTAATCAAGTCCTTGCCGGTTGCCTCTTTTTCACTCGAGTACTAATTCTTGGGAACGTGCATAGTAGCCACCACCTTTTCCCTCGACTGACTAACAAAGGGGTTATCAGATACGATCATCGTCAAAAGAGGGTTTTGGAAGAGGGTTTTCGAAGGTTTTCAAGGGTTTGATGGCATAATCATCACGGAGAAGGAAAAGTAAAGAATCAAAGACGACAAACAAGACAAAGTTGAGATACGTACGTGATGAAGAGTCCGATGATGGTCTTCTTGAGTTAGGATTGTTGGATGTTGAACCAGATAACTTCAATCCTACATCTAACTTGTGTGACGACCCTTTTCTTAACATTTTATGTGATGATAAAATGTTAAAGAATAATCAATTTGAAGGGGACGATGAAGCTGATGTTGAAGATATTCACCAGGAAGAGCATGAGCATGAACACCTTGAAGATGAAAATGACCTGGAAGTGGGTGTCGAGTTCAGGGTGCACGATCCTACCGTCAAGTGGAACCAAATGAAGCCTACAGTTGGTGAGTTATACGAGTCCCATGCTCAGTTAAGGTTTGCACTCACTAACTACGCTGTAGCTAATGGATACCAACTTTGGTTCATGAAAAATGATAAAAAACAGGGTAATTGTTAGGTGTGGGAAAAAAATGCAAAAAAACCATGTCCTTTTAGGATCATGCTTCATGGAAGTATAATGAACGTACTTTTCAGATAAAATCTATGGTTGAAACACATCTTTGTGCAAGGAATTATAATTTTGGACATTTGGTTAGTTGTAATTGGTTAGCAAAACACTACATTAAGGACATAATTAGGAAGCCCAAAATGACATTGCCCGAGATGATGGAGGATGTCCTTACAAAATTCTTAGTGAAAGTGTCAAAGGGGCAATGTCATAGAGCAAGGGTAAGGGCAAGGGAAATGATAGAAGGTAAACTAGAGGAACACTATGCTAAAGTATGGGATTATGCCAATGAAATCCTTAGATCTAACCCTGGAAGCACATGCAAAGTAGGAGTGTTAGTAAATCCAAATGGGGTGAATTATTTTCAACGTTTTTATGTATGTTTTAAGGCATTGAAAGATGGGTGGAATAGAGGGTGCAGAAGTGTGATTGGCTTAGATGGATGTTTCCTAAAGGGACAAATCAAAGGGGAGATTTTGACTGCTATTGGAAGAGATGCTAACAATCACGTGTATCCAATTGCATGGGTTGTAGTAAATGTAGAGAACAAAGAAAATTGGACTTGGTTTTTACAGCTTTTTGTTGATGACTTGGGTGTTGAGGGTGGAAGGGGTCTAGTTGTCATTTCAGATCAACACAAGGTAAACATAAATACTACAAATTTTGTCATGTATTCATTTATATTGTCTAACCAATATTAATGTTGTATTTACTTGTTTCAGGGGTTGCTAGAATCTGTGAAAGCTATCCTTCCACATGTTGAACATAGGCAGTGTGCACGACATATTTATGCCAACTTCAGGAAGAGGCATACAGGTTTAGACTTGAAGAACTTGTTATGGGCTGCTGCAACTAGTTCACATGAAGGGGATTTTGTGTCTAACATGGAAAAAATTAAGAAAATCAATTCAAATGGATATGATTGGTTGATGTCTAACAATCCGCAATCATGGTGTAGGGCATTTTTTGGACAAGGTTATGCATGTGAGGTAGTGGAAAATGGCGTTTCTGAGTCCTTCAACTCCATGATCATAAATATTAGGAAAATAGATGAGGTAAATACTTACCATTAAGTTGTTACTACTTGCCATTAAATTGTGCTTTATACTTAACATGAAATTGTTATTTTTAATTTTTATTTATAGGAACTGGAAAGTGATAGCAACTGGGGGGTCTGTATTTGAGACAAGGTATGAGTATGCAGCTTACAAAGTGGATTTGGAACACCACTATTGCACATGTAAAGTATGGGAGATATCTGGAATACCATGTGTGCATGGTCAAGCAACAATAAATTACACTCACATGAATCCAACTGATTTTCTAAGCATTTGGTTCCAAAAACAGAAATTTGTGGCTGCATATACCACAAATATATCACCAGTGAATGGAAGCAACATGTGGGCACCCACTGACTATATAAAGCCATTACCTCCATTGACAAGGAGAATGCATGGTAGGCCAAAAACCAAGAGAAGAAGGCATGTGTCTGAGGTCAATGATTCCAAGTTCCCAACTGTTAGAGCTAGAGTTTGTAGGACTGTTAGGTGTAGCAAATGTTTACAATTCGGACATAGCTTGAAATCCTGTAAGAATGAGCAAGTGATGAAGGAGTATGTGCCATCTAGAAAACCAGGAAGGCCAAGGAGGGATGAAAATGGGATAACAAATAGGGATGGAGAGGGAACTTCAAAACAAAAGAAAGTTAAGCTTACAGTGAAAAGAAAGAAGAAGAAGACAAAGAAGGCTAGAGAAGGATCCTCAAATCAAGCAACTTTTGAAACTGCAAATGATGCAACTGTACAGGAAACTGCAAATCATGCAACTGGACAGGAAGAAATTGGAACTGTACAGGAAACTGCACATGAGATTGTGAATGATGCAGATGCTAGTATTGAGGAAATTGATGTATTGATGTTGCAGAAATGTGGTTATGAACCTCATGCGATTGCACAGGCTTTGGAAGCAGACTTAGAAGAGAATGTTAATCAGATTGAAGATAACTTGCTTGAAGATAACTTGGAAATGGTATGCCAACCTTTACTTTAAATTTCTTATAATTAATATGTGATTTACATAGGGTAATTAACTGGATCATGTCTTACAGGGTGTAGATGGTAATGAGATTGAAGATCGCTTGGAAGCAGACTTAGAAGAGGATGTTAATGAGATTGAAGATAACTTGCTTGAAGATAACTTGGAAATGGCATGCCAACCTTTACTTTAAATTTCTTATAATTAATATGTGATTTACATAGGGTAATTAACTGGATCATGTCTTACAGGGTGTAGATGCTAATGAGATTGTGCCACCAGTGCAAGGGGAAGTTGCTATACAAGGTTTAGATGTTAATGCTTGGGTTGGTGAAGATGATGAGGAAATTGATGGGGGAGATTGACTTCATTGAAGATACACAAGTTGTTGGGAGGCCTAGGAAAAGGAAGATTTCTAAGAGAATTGTGAAGATCAAGCTGAAGAAAGCAGTTTATGATAAGGATGGAAGAGGTTCTAGTATTAAGAAACCAGTTAATTTGGAGTAGGACTATTTAGGAGGGGGTATCATGGGCACTATGTATTTTGCTTGCCCTTTTTGTTAACATTTCATCAGCTTTTGGCAACAACCATCCAATTGTATATCAACATCTAGTAGTATTCAATTAGGCCTTTTTGAACAATGGTAGTTAATGGCCATTAGAAAGATTGTTGGGTAATTGGATGTTTGGTTCTGATTGTAATACCCCCTTTTATGTTATTAAGAATGCAAGTATTCGAAGTTAATGTCATTTCACTTTGCTTGTCATTTCACTTGCTTACAATCATATGTTATTTTGCTTACACAAGTTTTAGTACATTCCAGTTAATACCAAGTTTTACCAAGTTTTAGTACATTTCACTTGCATACACAAGTTTTAGTAATACCCCTTTGCTTACACAAGTTTTAGTACATTACCATAACTACATTGTAATGAATCACTATAATGCAAATACCAAATCACATGGACATAAATAGCATTGGATTACCATCAATACACTTCTCCATCAAACATTACCATAACTACATTGATCACCTGCCCTAACCAAAATAACAAACCTACAACAACCTTAACCATACCAAAATACAAAAAAATTACAACTGCCCTAACCAACTGGTTCTTAAAATACAATGCCAATTATAAGAATTATTCCAATAATCACCAACATCACCAAAACAAACTTTAGCAACTTGATCACCTGCAGAAAACCATTGGCAATAATTTCGTTATAGGGCTCCCTGTCATTAGCATAAAACTCCAACTCGTCTGTGTCAAGCCACTTGAAATATTTACACCCTTTTTTGGTACCCTGCCAACAAAATCTTCATTTAATAACTTTTGAAAGATAACAAAATGGGAAAACAAAATCCCTTAATTTTACCTTATAGTTAGGGCATGCCTTGAACTTTCTTCCTGGGTTTTTATCGGTTCTTGAAACTGAGTATTGTAGTTGATCACCACAATCACACTTGGTGCGATAAATCGGTTTGATGATAGAAGATGTTGAAGACGAAGCCATGGAGAAGAAGACGTGATGTGTGAGGAAGAACACCTAACCAAGAGTGAATGAGAGATTTTGGGGCAAATAACGATTTTGGGTATGTAAAGAGTTAGGGTTACCTGCTAAACCGACGACACCGGCTAGCATTGACTTTTCATAACCAGTCAACACAATTAATGGCAAATAAGTAACAAAAAAAAATATTGGGGTTAAATCAAAACGAATATGTATAAATAATGGTTTTTAAGGTATTAACCCATGTTCTAAATAATGTAAGGTGTGACTTGGCGGCAATGTAAAACCTCAAACATTTTTGAGCAGTAGCGAGCCACGCCGTTTGTAAGGCGTGACTTAAGGCGACAATTTTGTATATAATTAATAATTTTATATATATTTTCTACTATTATTCATTTTATACATATATATGACTTACGACGACATTTTGTTAAAGTTTGGCGACAAATACAAGCCTTGAAGCCATGACAAACTTTTTAAAACGTTGGTTTTTTTTATTACATATTTACAATTAATAATAGGAAGAAAAAAAACTCATCCCACCCCCACCCACCACATTGTATACATATCTAAAACATCGTACCCTTCTTGACCTTTCCTTCTCACTACCTCCTTCCATCTCTATCCTTACAGTCAGTCATACCATCGACGTCCCAAGATTTTATCGTTATGTGCTCCTCTTTCACCTGATTGTGGGTTGTTTTATCAGATTGTTGGATTTGCCTTCACCATCGTTCCTTATTTTTTTTATCTTTGTCCCATTCTCTCTCTCTCTCTCTCTCATTCACCTGATGGAATATGTGCAATACAAAACAAAAACAATAGCTACAAAGGCAACGGAAGCACAAAACATATTCCAAAAACGGATCACAGATTCATAACCAATTCGCAACGATTCTTACATCATGGTTAGGCCATATACACATCCTTTGAAAGTTTTTCATTAAGGAAAACAATTCTTACATCCATTTGTCATATTTCATAATCATAAAATGTTGCTATGGTAAGTAATATCCTAATAGACTTTATCATTGCTATTGGCGATAAGGTTTCAACATGGTCAATTTCTAATAGACTTTATATGCACATTCCCATCCATGTTTGTCTTCTTCTTGAAGACTCATTTACACCCAACTGTTTTAAGGCCAGGTGTGTGATCAACCAAGTGCAAACCTTGGTTATCTTACATGGATTGAATCTCTCTCTCCGTAGTCTCCTTCTATATAGTAGCATATAGGCTTGCCACAACTTCCTGATAGCTAGTCAGCTCATCTTTGCCAACCATTGACTCATCTCCTTCAGTAATATGTAGGACATAAAACTTAGGTGCATGACGTTCTCTACTACATCTACGAGGAGGAGATGAATGTATGTTAGACTCCTCAATAACCCTTTGTCGAGACTCAACAGATCTTTCAACCTCTGTTTGAGTGCCAGTGCCAACTTTAGGTTCCATGTTGGTTGACTCTTAAACTTCTTCAAGAGCAATCTCACTCCCATTAGCCTCTTTGGATATCAGCTTCCTCTCCCGGAGACTGCCTTCGAGCAACAAACACTTTGTTCTTTGAAGGTTTATAAAAAAACCAAAAGACTTGGTATGATATTCAACAAAGTAACATTTCTCGTATCTGGGTTCTAGTTTGTCGAGCACTTCATGAAGAACGAAATACTTACAATCTTGAACCTTTACATGTGCTAGTGAGGGTGGAACCCCACTCCAGATTTCAGAGAGTGTCTTGGAAAACTTATTGGTTGGTACAAGGTTAATGACTCTTGTATCAGTCTTCATTATACAATCCACAAGCTATGTGGAAGCATAATGTAATGCATCATGAATCAGATCAAATAATGATTGGTTTCACATCCCAACTACATTGTTTGTGGCAATGTCTTGATTGGAGATTATTGTGAAACGATTTCACAGTTCCTTAGATGATCGTTGGACTTCTTGACTAATATGCTCACTACCTCTATTGGATCTGAGTATCTTATCTTTTTGCACAGTCGATTCTTTCGTTTTAGAAAGATCTGATGTGACATCCCCTAATTTCTCGGCCAGAAAAGACCGATTTAATTTATGCTTTTTAAACTAAAATCAGAGAAATCTTTTTAAAAGATGTTGCAGAATTGGTCCCCAAAACAAAATATGATAAAAGTTTGTCAAAACCTTTCTTTAAGAAATATATAATTTCATTTCATATCAAAACCTCGGGATGTCATGTTCCGATACAGATCAAAAGCATAAACAAGACATTATAAGCCTTTCAACAGTTATTTACAACTACTGGCCTATAATACAAAAATCTCTCATCTTCCTCCGACTATGCTCGGGGTCCACTACCTGTAACATAAAAAGCTGAGTGGGTCAGGCTTGGGAGCCTGGTGAGCATATAGGGTTTTCAACCCACAGTAATAATAAACTTATTAAGTTCACCAATCAACAATAACCCTGATTACCCGTTCCCGTTATCCTCACTTTACGTCCCTAAACACTTTTCACAAGGGACCTAGCCTAAAGAATATCATCGGGATGGACACTACTGCTAAGGGGTTTCCTCAACCATACATGTCCTAAAGGCAACCATGAGGGGGATGGAGTACATCGAATGAACACTCTAGTTCATTAACACCTACAGGTTGCGGACCTGCTAATGTTTCCCACTGGACTGTCTAGAAAGTCCGTGATCGTCATCCAAACTCCGCTAGATGACTGAATCACAAATCACATCGAGGCCTCTCATTACTTTTATTTTATCACACATCACTATCTACCCATGTTCTACCCAACATATTTGTAGATAAAAATACTTATACAGTTTAAAACTTGTATAAAACATCAACTCAACAGTCACCTCAAATAAACAATTAATATATTTGCACATAGCACGTATTATAAGGTAAATACTTCATATCTATGTGTAAAATGAAAGTGACTATACACTCACATGTTTTGATGAAAATCGGGCAGCAATTCGTTTCCTAAAACGTTCGTTTCTAATAAAACCGGGAGTTTTAATCAGAAACCGGGCTCTGCGAGGGTCGGGCTTCGAAACCGAAAAGATAAATTTTCCGGGCTTCTCGGGCTCTTCGTGGCGTATTCCGGGGGTTATAATCGATACCGGGGCTTTGGGGAATGTTAAGATGAAGAAAATATGAAGAAAGGGGTGAAAGATGGTGAAATCCCAAAAGTACCCGAGAAGGCTCGCAGGACCCTTCTATTTATAGGGGTCCACAGGCAAGGGTGCGCAGGTGGCTGCACGTGCGAAGGCCTCGCTGTCCTCTCCTGATTGGACCGAGGTCTATTGGTCCGAAGTAGGGTTCCGTAGCTTCTTGCGAGGGCTTCAGACATGTGAAGGAGGACACGCGTCGAACATGCATTGGACCGCTCAGCAGCTCGGATGACTCAGCCTCGTTTCGGACATGTGGCACACGCGAGGCGAGGACACGTGGCTCGCATTACTCACCAATTTCGGACACGTGGCACGATCTAAGCGAGGGTGACGTGGCAAAAACGTGACTATGCGAATTTTCTCGATTTTTGTGCAAAAACTTCTAAAATCCATAACTTTTGCATACGAGCTCCGTTTTTGTCGTTCTTTATATGCACACGTAGGTAAAATTACTCTCTACAACTTTCGTTTAGACTTCGTCGGCTAATTTTGACTTTAATTTTTATATTATTATTTTTAACAGACCGGGACAGGAAATCCGTTAAAAATTCATAACTTCTTCATCCGACGTTCGTTTTCGTCAAACTTTTTACCGTTGTGCTACTAATGACGAGACCTTCGATTCTCGTTTAGGTCGTGTCAGCTAAAAATCACTCGATCTAAAATTCGAGTTTTTAGC